CTTATAAAATCATTGAATGAACAACTAAAGCTAGTTTTACAACATTGAGCATTAACGATGTCTTTATAACTTTTATAACTTTGATGTTATTACACTGAATTTTTTTCAACTGTTTACGAAGCATATGGTTTTGTAAATTTTCTGTATGTTTTTAATTACAACAGTTTGTCTTAGGGTTTAAAGCTAATAATTTACAAGTTTAAAAATTCATAAATCTATTGTAAGTGTGACACGTCGTCTACTATTATTTATAAGTATTATGTGTAATATCCAACATATTAGTTTAAATATTTCTGTGAATGCCTTATTTTCTAAAAAATAGGAGAACGTAAAATTAGTTGATAATAGTGTACATGCAAAAAGATTCATTCGCATTGAGGACAGTATCCAAATAGTCAAAATGTGATTGGAATGGTGCAGCAAAAATAAAACAGCTTGAAAGTATGCAAAAAAGATAAAAGGATGAAAACGCAGGTATAATGAGAAAAACAACAAAGACAAAATGGATAAGAAAACTATCCATGGCCGTTGAAAATATTGCAGAGGAATAACTATAAATATGAAAATGTAAAAGACATCTGATACAAAAAACAGAATCTCTTATTGCTACATCAGAACTAATTACAGTAAAATGAAAATAGAAAGAAAAAACCCTGAAAACAGTAAATTCCAGTTAGGTAGACAAGATGAAGCAATAAAATAAATGATAAATTTGATAGAAATGGATGATGAAAACTGTCGCGATAATAGAAACAGTCTTACTGTAGGAACTGTTCAAACGAATTACTTTCAAGAATATAAATAAATAAGAAGACTATGATACTATGGACCATTGACATTTAGATCAACAACTCAAACCATGCAAGAATATTGAAAACAAGGAAAAGTAAAACTATTCAGATCATGGACACGATTGCGTCAGAGGTGAAAATAAAAGAAAGAGAAAATTAGAAAATATCTGGACCATTGGCGAAAAACGAGAAAATTGTAGATTATGAAGTATAAGGTCGTGCCTCTAATAATCATTAGGTCTTGGAACAATTTCAAACACATTAGAAGTGAGAAAGAAGGAAGAACCAAGACTGTCAATACCTTGGCAATTTTTGAGTCTGTGAAGATACTGAGAAAGGTGTTGATGATTTGATGAAATTTCAGCACTAACTTTAAGACATTTGGTGTAAACATGCAAACTATCGAAGACATAATATCGAAGACAAATATTGTTCTAGTTTTATATGTTGAGAGAAAAATTTTCATCAGTTACTGGCATATTTGATAGTACAAAGTAAACGCTTTTTTAGTTATAAATCGCAATAATTTCAAAGATTCATTTATCTAGAATTTTATTTAAAAGTTTTCTTATAATTTATATAGTAGTTTTGTGACGATATCTCAACCTTCTTTGAAATATTGATTTTCGCTTCTGATCAAAGTTGAATGGATGCTATGGCAACAAAATATAATTCTCTTTATTAAAAAAATACAAAAATAAAGTATACTTTTCCAAAACTTTATTTGAGAAAGACTGACTGAAATAAAGTTTAATTAATCTGAATTAAAACAAATATTTCTTTAAGTTTACAATAATCACAAAAATCATTTATTTAAAACAGAGGAAGCTGATTTTAAGAGGTGTTGACAGATTTATCGAGAGCTTCATGTTTGGCATTTTTAAGTAAAGGGCACTTAACTGTAAAAATTACTCGAATACAATGTGAACATTCTTTTTAGCTAACCAGTAATCTTAAAAATCTAGGAAAATATTCTAAGTAATCTAATATTTTATTGAATTATAGGTATTTTGGTATTTTCCATTTATGATTAGTAAATTGATGATTAGTTTTTACTTCATAACAATATTACCTAACCGCTGCAAATTAATACACAATTTTAATAGATTTAAAATTTTATAAAATATAATTAATTTTTTTTTTAAATTCTTGTAAAAATTCATTATTCATGGTAAATATTTTTCTTAGGAAAATAGTGTCCATATAAATACAATTAAAAGCTCCTCTAATTAAATAATGTTTTATTTTTATTTTATTTTTTATTTTACAATTCAGAGCATATTTTCTCCAACTAGGGTCCTGTTTGACAAAAATATTTGATGATTTAAATTCTTCAAGGACTACAAAAAATTATAAAATATAAAATTATAAATTTTCTTAAAAAAAATAAGTGTGAGTGTGTGTGGGAGGTTTAACAGATCTAAAAAGATTTTCTAAAAACGAAACGTTTCTAAAATATTTTCATTCATTTGTGAAGTCCTGAAAGTTTCATTAAAATCCGACAATTATTTTTGCAAGAATTTCCAAATCAATGTGTTTTTTTACCACAAAAGACACTCACATTTCCCGTAATAATTTATGGTCCTTTGTTGACGCAGGAAAAGGAAAAATATTCGACCAAAATTTCGAAGGTTCTAAAAAGGATTAAAAAATATAATTTAATAATCAAAAAATACCCTAATCTTTCTTCTTAATAATAACCTAAAAATTTTGACGATAAGACTTAGTTTTTGCTAAGTTTTAGGAATTTTTTCATCATGTACTCTCACTTTTCAGCGAATCTTTGAATCTAAGATAAATAAGCAAGAATTATTTAGAGCAAGAAAATGTATGTGTGGAGACCTATGTTCTTTCATATCCTGAAAAAACGTGACAGAGAGAGAGAGAGGTGGAGAGAGAAAGACAGATAGACATACAGAGAGAGAGAGAGAGAGAATTAAGACAATTCTATGCTCAACTTCTCATTTGTTATTAGTCATTAATGTCGGGTTTAGCAGCCAAACTGAACTTGTTTATTAATAGGATATTTTTTTAAATAAGCACGAAGTTTGATTCGAATTGCTTGAAGGAATTTTTCTTACCTTTAAATCCTGAAATATTAAAGGAAACAACATAAATTGTAAGCAAATTCAAGGAATGTTGAAGAGAAAAGGCATTTTTTTTTAAATTAAGGACTTTCATAAAAGTAAGAATCAAATTCTGTGTTGCTTACAGGATCCTTATTGGCATCTACTCCTCATTGGAATAGTTAATTATTGAAACGGCGAAATCAAGATGCATGTTCAGTGGTTATTGATAGCTGACTTTACATATGATTACAGAACAGATTTGTCACCCAATTTCTAATTTCGTTTCAATATTCATATAATACTAAGAATAGAGTAGTAATCTTCAGACATTCAATGTCATTTTTTTTATAATTTGATGATTGTTCAATCTTAGAAAACATTATCACGTTACTGCTGCGATGAAAACTAAAAAAAACAAACTTTTCAGTAAGTCTACAAGTATTTTGCATGCTATTTGATAAACAATTAACATTAATAAGGTGAAAATCACATAAGGTGAAAAACATGTTCATTCTATGTTGGAAATAAATATCAAAGTCGAACTTTAAACAGGTTTTGTCAAAAATGATTGCAGAAACCAACAGATGCACTTGAGAAACTTTTAACGAATAAATTGAAATTTGTTTGAAAATGATCTGGCATTTGTTTATCTCTTAAGTGGACAATAGTTCAGAAAAAAAAAACATTAGTGAAGGTAGAGAGTAAATTTGCCAGATTTACCGACTTTTGAAAGCCCGGTACTCCTGCAGTTGAAATTCCGTCCTTCAATTTTTGGGTTTACTTTTAAAATAAACGGGGATTGATAAATTGGGCTTCTCGTGAGAAGAAAACCAATTCAAAATTTAGTATTTCTGCGATTTCGAATTTAGCTACATTGGCTAATCGTAGCTCCATCTTACAACCCTGATAGAAAGGCAAAGTCTAGGAAATATATCTAATGGTTTTTACATTTCACTCGTAGGCCCACGCTTGTGATCTTATGTGTGACAAAGCTTAATAAATACTCTATCTCACAGTCTGGATGATTGGAAATGCAACAAATTGGATTTTCATTTAGCATTCAGCTTAAATGTGTAATTATGTTAGTAAAGTCAATTGGCTTTTCACAGAGATAAATAAGTAATTTCTTGACATGTTTCAATGGACGATACAAACTTCCAATTTTCAGAATGATTCATTTAATTTTTAAAATCTAACGAAACTTTTTGAATGAATGCTTTTGAAGTTTTTTTTTTAAATGAAGGTGGCTTGTATGGGGACTACACATAATTTGATAAGCAATAATCCTACACACTAGCAACACATACACGCTCTTTTTTGCCTCCTTTACACTCATTTCAATTTATATCCTTTTCTTTCTTGGTTTTTCTGCCTTTTCGCTTTGTAATTCTGACATACTGGTTCAGTGGTTATTGATAGCTGACCTAACATCTGATACACGACAACTCCGACAGACACTGGGAAAACACAAACACACAGTCGATACACGAGAAATGATGGTAATTCGAGTCGACACAGCATTCATTACACCATAACTAATGACGTTTGATCACATCCTAGTAATCACATCACCTTTCTCAACTGTTCCACCCAGCCTTTTCTTCACTTTTGATGCACACAAGCAAAGAGACAATATCCAATTGCAGACGGTTTCTTAAGTCGAACCTCATCATATTGTGCTCCATCCTTAGTATTCGTATTTGACAGCAATACTAAAATTTCACTCAAACGCAAATGGATTCAATTTCTTTGTGATGAAAACTTGCAGGCTTGTAGGATTCCGATTGATCTGATAGCGGATGGTGCTTGGTAAACAAACTAACGAGCCTCGGTGCCACCCGACACTGCTGCTTTTTCAATACAGGAACTCATTCCGCAGCCGAAACCCCACCTCATTGTCAAAAAGCGCATTAGTAAAAACACTTGCACTTGCGCTAATTATTTGCTTTCCGTTTTCAAATTCCAGTAATCATTGCATCCGAGATTTTTTCTTCATATTATTTCTTCTTCTTCTTCTTCTTCTTCTTCTTCTTCTGCTGCTGCTGCTGCTGATGATGATGATGATGCTTCTGCTGCTGCTTAGTTATTTTTTCTTTAGTTTTTCTTAATATTTTTCTTTTTTCTTTGTTTTCGTATCAAGTCACCCGCTTCAATTTAATTATTTTATTTTCCTCCAACATCATTTCTCTCCTCTATTTTCATCCTTTTCTTCATTTTTCCTTCGTTCAACTTCTTTTTATTTGCTCTTACTTCTTCATTTCTTCGTTTCATTCTTCTAAATTCTCTTCTATCTCTTTATCGTTCCTGTGCTTTTATTTTTCTTCTCTTTTCTCTGAAATCTATCATTCAAATATCGCCTTTATTTTCCTTCTCTAATTCATGCTTATCATTTATTGTTAGTAGCAAAACTACACCAACGACCGATGATTAACCATTATTATAATGCTCATCATCATCATTGTAATAATAATAATAATAACAATTTCTATAAATATCACTAGAGAAATAAAGAGCATTCCGAACAAGCTTAGAATCACAATCATTTATTCTACGACCATCAAATATAACGCCATGTATTAAAATCACAAAGTCTCAAAGAAACAACAATTTCCTACATCACTGAATGAACTGTTTGTAAAGCTTGAGACTTAATGTATTTTAAGAAGCATTTTACAGTAATTTGATGATCTGTTGAGAAATTTGGATGCTCTAAGCTGAAATCGATGGAAGTTCTCAAATTTAAATTAATGAAAAAGCAACATTACCGAAGTTGCATGTTTAATTATTCATATTTTCTCCTGTGTAAAATTTTCATTTTCTTCACTCGAAATCAAAATCAAAACCAAACCAAAATTAATTAATCAATGGATCCTTTTAAAGAAAATTGTATTTTAAAATACACATACAATGTTATATTTCGAAAATAAGGTGCATTTTGTGATGAAACATAAAAATGTTCGCTAACTCCTCTGTTATGTACACATCTATATTTATTTGAATGTCTAAGTACATGCACCAAATGAGTGAAATAGATGAAATGAAAATGAAAGATCAAAGAGAGAAAGGGAAGGAGAGAGAGAGAGGGAGAGAGATAAAAGAGAGAGAGGGAGAGAGATAAAAGAGAGAGAGGGAGGAGTAGTGAATGAATATGCAAAACCAGATTACTGATTGTGCATTTACCAAGAAACCAAAGAAGTTGATGCAGTTTGGGAATTATTATTTTTTAATTAGGTTTAGTAAAGAGAAACAGTACATAAGAATTTCCAACAACATAAAACTTAATCATATAATTTGGTATAAAATAATCTTCCGAAGTGTCTATCCACAGTAGTAAGGAATGAAATCAATGCGCAGCCCCAAAGGTTCATTGTGAGCTTGTCTAATATGCGAATATAAACTTGAAACAAAAGCAGTTTTTTAAGATGAAGATAGTCACTGTGCTGCTCAAAAGTGTTTCAGGAGGCTTTCAGCTGGATGTGTCAATCAAAAATTAATGAGGACGCGGTAAGGACTCCTATTGAATCAAACGTGTTAGATGCTTGCATTAAAATCAGTACAATTGATGAAAGTCTACGAAATCAGCGAATGAACACAACAAATGTATTAACATTTTTGGTTACCTGGTAGTATGAATATAGTAAATATTAACATCCGACATCTACCCCTTTGACGATCTATTAAAGCGAATGTACTGATATCTTGAACTAAATATCTTGACCAACATGGTCAACGAGAAGACGACTTTCAGGCGACAACAGATGCTCATACGTCACAGTTGGTAATGTCCAAACACATACAGATACACACACACATTCTGTACGCGGCTTTTTGTGTCTATCTCGGAGCAATGTTTTACATTTATTTTCATTGTTAGTCCTCCTCTGGTAGACACCTTGTTAGTGAGAATGGGTTTGTGTTAGTGACTGATGGGGGCGTAAGGTATCATATCCCGGGGGAAGCGTTCTGGGGTTGGAGTTTATTCATGGCTAGGACATTTCGTTGTTTGTAGTTTAATATCAGTTCCTACTATGTGGCGTTTTTTATACGAGCCCCAAGTGTGTTTTTTCTGGGATTCACAGTAAATAGTTTTTGTACTACAGGTGTCCAATATTATTAATAAGCGATGGGAGATTTAAACTTAAAACCGTCAAGATTAATGTAAATTATTTGAATTATAGATTTATAGGTTGTGGGTAATACCAGAGCACCCAATGGAATCCATCAGGCTGTCCAATACACTTATATGCTTACATATCTTCATACGTACATATATTTACATTTACATGTCCATATATATATGCCACTATACGCATACATACACCCCCACATATATACACATGTATTCTTGTGTAATTTTGAATCTATTTCTATGTGTACATTTCGTGATTAGTTCTCTCTGTTGATTTAATAGTTTGCATTGATCTTTATATATTATTATCCTGATGTTTTTATTTTAAACATAGCTTACACCTATCCCTAAAACTATTGTGGGGTGGGGTCACGAAACCTAGAATTTCCAGTTTATTTGAGGATACAGACCCTTTTTCTTCAATTCTCAAAATCTTTTCGAAAGGGCTGTTTTCTGTTTTGATTTTGGATTGGTGAATTAGTGTCTATGTTTATTGATTCTCTTTTTAAATTCTCCTGCAGAAATTCAGATGTAAATGTTATGGTTTGTCATATTTTCTTTAGGGGTAATGGTTGCCTGGTATACTACCTTAGTGGTTCTGCACTTGCCATCTACTGGGCAGTTTCCATTAATTCTACAATTACAGGGGCTTTTCCATGTTAGATTTAGTTTTTTTCCCAAGGAATTTACTTAAAATGTAATTGTTATGGGAATTAATAATTTGGTACATATTTTCAGTGTGGGAGTAGCTAATTTTGGTTGACTTCCTGATGAATATCTTATTTAGAGGATTTTTTCTTGAAGCGTTTAGTAATTAAATTTAGGAAGTACTGTCCAATGTTGATACTTGACAGTTTGCAAAGGTGGGGGGGGTTGAACCAAGTGATTTTTAGGGGATGATAGCCGCGTACAGAATGGCTTAAAATAGACTATACAATATTGAATTATTTTTTTGTTTTTTTGCTGTAATGAAAAATCAAGCAATTGGCCTACTCTTTTGTAGTCCTTGTCCTCATGTCGTCCTTTTAGATTATATATTTCCTTTTCTATTATATATTTCCATTAATGAAAGCAATTAATTTCTTCCCCGATTTCGCCGTAGCATTAAAACAAAAATTTTCCTGTATTAATTGTTTATTACTGGATAGATCATTGCTGTTGTTAAGTATAGCCTCTTCTTTTTTATCCCATATTTTCTCGTTTATATCGTTTTAGTTACCATCATTTCTTCAAACATCTCGCATATTATCCATTCCCTTAAACACTATTTCTTCATTATATTTCCTTCTTTTGGCAGATTTCGCTATCCTTATTTGCCACCGATTTTAAGCCATCAAAGGACTATATTTCGATTAGTATTAATCACTGTTATTACATTATTATGTATGTACTTTTATCCTTCGATTCATAATCTATACGCAAATTCAACAAGACATGCATATTATCATTCTCAACAAAGACTAATTGGTGGATTTCGTTGTTGTGAATTGTCAAAGTAAGACTAGCATTTCAAACGCTTATTTTTAATGCAAGTATGCTCAGTCGATTTGAAATATCAGTGCAACACAATTTTCATTTTATATTATTTTTATCAGTATATACTGTTCCTATTTTTATGCGTATATAGTAAGCATTTACATACATAATTATGAAGCATTTTCGAAAGGCAAATCTAGAAGAACGTTTTATGTTGTTTTCTTTTCTCATGCGTAAATAACTTTAAAAGCCATTTGATATAATAATTATGTCTATCTTTGAAATAAGCAAGAAGCAAAATCAGACAAACTGCACAAAGGACGTTGATTAGACACAGAAAGATATAAAATTTATTGTTGAAGTTAAATATGGATTTCCTTCTTTATCAACACATTTTACAGTCTGGCAGATATTTCTAATATTCCAAATCAAATTTTTAAATTTAAAATTTTTAACTTTAAAAATAAAGTGTGTGATATTAAAAATATCGAATATAAGTTTTTTGCATCAAATGAGTTGGCTTTTCCTTACTTGTATTTAAGTAAATTTGATTCATATAAAAATTGCCATTTTAATATAATCTATAAGCAATATAATCTATAAAACACATTTGATTCATATAAATAAAAGTTGCCATTTTAATAAGTCGAATGCACAAATGAACTATTATTTCTATTTACTGAAATAAGAATCCAATTTGGTGGCAGTGGCTGACATGGCCAAGTCACTAAAAATGTATTTTCCATTATATTTTGATCTAACATGATCCTTACTCTTAATAAGTGTTTTATAGGAAACATTTGTGAACTGCTAGCGTTAGTTTTATGCCCACTTGTCACTATCATTTATCAGAATGCAATTATTTACTATTATTTTAACAATTTCGACGCTTTGAATGGGCTTTGTATGGAAACAAAATTAAAAACAGTGGCTAAAACGCTTTGTTAGTATTAATCGCTTTCAACTTTAGTTTGACATTTAAGAGGCTAGCTGCCTGACAATGCGCCTATAGACTCTAATTAAGCTATCCATACTTAGTTGGCAATTAAAGCTTTTGTACAGAACAGAATCCAATCCAGCGACGTATTGGTCATCCAACTGATTGACCTCCCAATATGCTGGCTCAACATGAATGACTGCAGTGAGATGACCTTTAAGGCACGAATGAAAACTGGCCATTCGGGTCTCAGTCAGGGCTCATTATAAAAGGTCGTCGAAAACTATGATTTCACGTAGGACCAATTGTGTTGACACGTGACCAAACAATCTTTATTTGGAGAGTAACTACTTAACGACTTTTCACATTTGTTTATCGTATTTCGAGCATGTCTTCTCTTGTCGTATACCATCTTTCGCTGTCCTTGCTACAGTTCCACTCACTCAGTTAGCTAGAACCGATAACCAGTGGCAGTTCTGAGAGACAAGAACAGACGTGTGTGTGAGTGGTTGGCATCACGTCCAAGTGACATTTTAGGAGCTGACATTTAATGCTAGAATTAACCATAAGTCTAGGCCGAAGATGTTTCTGATTCATTCTTTAGGTTCTTGTCACTATTTCAAATAGATTCATTATGCTCATTTGTAGATGATCGGGCAAGGCATTTGTTTCGACCAACAACTTTCTTGTAATCATTTCCTTTACCTACATAAGCAGATATCCAGACATACAATTCATTTTAATTCAATTTATTCATTGTTGGTTCTTGTTAAATAGAATAAATGAAAATAAGCAGTAGTTTTCGTTACAACATTTTACACATGCCATAAATAG